TATATATATATATATATATATATATATATAGACCTCTATTATCCTCCTGCTTCCTCTGTTAATCCACTGTTACAAATAATTAACTCTACTCCCTATGGCTATAATTTGCTAATGCATGTACATTTGGCTACTCTTTTCTGCACTTAGATACTTTACTGAATCATTCCTTTTCATAGTACAGTTGAATTGCAAATTTCTAACATGCAATGCTTCAAACGAAAAGCTTGTCCTTTGACCTTAAAAAGAGTAGGACAATACTTCTTAATAATTTCTTTAAACTTAGATATCACCATACCTGTTGGGGTTAAAACACATATTCAACGTCCTTATCAGAATGTCTAAAACTGAGGTAAAATATACAGCTGAAGGCTACAACGTTCTCCGTCAATCAGTCGTCTAGATCTAGCCTGGCAACTTAGAGTTGATCGCTAACGATATATAATATAAAGGACAACTAAAACAGATCTATACACGATTGGGTATTGAGAATATAATTAAGCCAAGCGAAGGACTTTGAAGCTTTGTACTGTCATTTTCGGTTTATGGTTGGGTGAACGCTTCGGAAGAAGCTGTCTAATTAAATAAAAACAACATTTTGGTGTTATAAGATCTTTTTTTTTTTCTAGTATTAAAATATCTACAGTGTTAGTGTTCCTGTAGAACATGTATGATTGTAGCTTTCTCACTACATGTTGTACACCATTAGTATTAGAGTCCCTCAGAGAGTAAGCGGTAAACTTAAGGATTTAAAAGATTAACATCCGGGGTTCGACTTCCCTTGGTAAACAGAGTACAGATATTCTACTCTGTAGCTTTGTGCTAAAACAAACGAACTCACACAATATTTTTGTCCCCCTCTGAGTCAGCGGTAAATCTCCGAATTTACAACGCTAAAACCTAGGGTTCAATTTTCCGTTGTGGACAGAACGCAGATAGTCCATTGTGTAGCTTTGTATTAGGAAACTAGCAACAACAGTGTCAGAATACATTCTTTACTGATAATCAAGTTTTCGTGAATATTTTTAAGGTTTATTAATTATACTTAAGTGTTTGCTTTACTCATTTTGTTTTCCTTTTCTGGGCAGAGCGGCGACTAGTGATTAGCTGCTGAGACTATGAATTCGAGGATTCATGATTCGCGTCTCCTTGCAACAAAAAATGCGCTCCCACTTTGGAACTGTAGGTGAGCTATAAAGAAATCCCACTATTCGGTCAGACAGGAGTAGCCCAAAACTTGGTGGTGGGTGCTGTTGATTAACTGCCTTTCATCTAGTTTGTCGTTACAAATAAGGATGGCCCCTTGTATAGCTTTCCGCGGAGATACCCAGTGGCACAGCGGTATGTCTGCGGGCTTACAACGTTAGAAACCGGGTTTCGATACCCGTGGTGGGAAGAGCATAGATAGCCCATTGTATTGCTTTGTGTTTAATTACAAAGAAACAAACAAGCTTTGCGCGGAAATTCTAAAACAAACAAACCTCTTACGTTAATCTAAATAATTTTAAAAAGTAAGGCATTCCACAATATTTATTTAACAAATCCACGGTAAGAACCTTCATGAAAATAAAATTCAAAATATGACATGTTAACCCTTTCTTTTTCCATAGAGTTTGAAGAAAAGAACAACAATAAAAATTATTTGCTTTTTCAATTCCTCATAAAGTGTTTGTTTAGCCTTTGTTGTTAAGCGCAAAACTACACAATGGGTTATTTGTGATCTATCCACTGTGGGGATCGAACTTCTAATTTTAATGTTATAAGCCCTCGAACTTATCGCTGAGCCTTTCGAATTTCAAAGCATTGAAGGAAATTATTGAACATTAATGTATAAATTTTGTTACCTCCCAAGAGAAACTAAAATAGTATGACGAGAACACAATTCATTTACTTTCATACCTCAGTTAAAATTTTGTAAGATGTCATTATAGATCAATTTATCTATTTCTATAAAAGGATCGATGATAGTGGTTTTTTTTTCTCATCCTTAAAGGTAAGAGTAAAGTCATATTTCGTTTTCATTTTTATCCCAACAGGTCGATTCATTCACTTCACTTTTGATATAGAACCTTTGAATCAGTTATTAACAAATATACATATTTCATTCGTTTTATCCCTAGCTGTAAGAGAGTTGAAGGTGATAAATAACACAAAATAACACTAATTATTGCCGAAAACACTATTAAACTGATTAGCCAACGCAATTTCGTCAATATATTTAGTAGTGTTCAAATATCTGAGTCCAAGTTAGCAATAGCCGAATTTCAATGAAAATTTACAAAATACAAAAGTTGTTCTGGTTTCTATGCAACATGTGGATAGTGGTGAGTAGTACAATATTAAAGAGAAGGTGATTATTATAGAAAATTGAACGATCAATATTTCTCTTGTTTCTTTAACTATATGACTACATCAATCAGATGTGTACGTTCTTACTATTTTGAAACTATAAATCTTTCTGCGCTCTACAATCACCCAGGCAGATTAGTTGACTTATTTTCTCCATGGTTATTTTTCAACTGGTGACAGAAATTTGAACTGTCGATTTCACAACTTTTAAATTACCATATCCTTATATATCTTCCAAATTTCTTTTATTCATTAGGACAGCATGTTCTGCATTTTTAAGCTGCTGAAAATCAAATCTAGGACTAATTAAATATCATGCTCTCTAGTGGCACAGCGGTATGTATATATGTATATACCACTAAAAACCAGGTTTCGATACCCGTAGTGGGCAGTGCACAAATAGCCCTTTGTGTAGCTTTGTGCTTAATAACAAACAACAGCAAATACTAAATATCATCCACTAGTCATGTCGTAATAAAGCCTGATGTTATAAAATCGACCCTTCTCTGAAATACCGTCATCACTTTTGATAACATCTCTCTCCCCTGCAGTAGAAAAACATTCGCACGCTGTTATTTAATACCTACCTACATGTTTCTCTGCGTTGCTTATATTTGTCATGGTCATATGTCCATATAAACATTCCTAGAGTTTCAAAAATGCCATCTTTGCTTCGTCAATCCATAAAATACTGTTCCATACGGTTTTTGTTTTCCAGTTTTCTGATGTTTGACTGTGTAAACATGTTGTCTCTTGGCTTTCAGGAAAAACACATTCTTGCAAGCGCCCTCTAACAATTCTATTGCTGAATCTAGTTTCATGCTTATCCTGTATTTTTTTTTTTCAGAATTTATGGATCGAGCTGAGACGTAAATTCTTCAAATGTTATTATACTTCCGTTTCGACGTTTTTCTTCATCAACCTTTCCATCCCTTACTGAACATGAAACTCCCAGATGCAAAAAATGCTCTAACGTTGTATGGTTCGCATCCTTCCAAAAACTAAGTTACTTTTCCCATTTTCTCGGTTTTATTCCTGTTGAAACTTACAAAAATGTGGATGATAGTGGTAATTTACCTGTCGTTCACTATAGTTATCAAAACTGAAGCGAGAATCTTGGTGATTTAAAACACGTGTGAAAAATAAAAGTGTTACCAAGAGAGAAAAAAGATGTAACAATGGTTACGGCCTATTTAATCCATATTTACTGTCGTTGATGTCTTTACACGTAAAACTTTGTTTTCTTCGTAGTTATAAAATACGAGATTTTGGATATAGCACAGAGAGAAAGCGTAAGAAAGTCACTGCTTATTTTAACAACAATGGTTCCCATTCTGGCGGTTTTTTATTATAAAAAGTGATATTTCTTCTATTTTGACCCAGAAATATGATTGAGATTGCATATCCATAAACTTTGGCTTCATTTGCGTTATGTGTCATAAACATTTACTTCGTTTGCGTTATGTTTAATAAACTCTTGTTTCATTTGCGTTATACGTGTCGCAATTCGTGACAGTTTGACTAAAATTTATTTTTGCATACTAATTTTATTTTATTTACAACTCTATTAAGCCGATTATAAAATTCCTAAACTAATTCATAGTTATTCAGTGCATTCTTTTTAATTTCTAGATTTTTTTTAAGTTCACTGTTTGCTTCCTTTTCGTTTTATAATTGAAAATCGGTTTTGAATTTACAAATAATTAAAATATACATGTTTGTCAGCTTTTCAAGTTTAGAATTCGATTAAAACTAAGTTAAAATATCTAAGTACATAGTGAAAACTCTAAATATATGAATTTTTCTTCCTATTACGTCCAGCAAGTTAAATTAAAATTGAATTTAACCATTCACGGCCACTTGGGTCTAGCATGATGCATTTCATTTTGTATCCAGATGATTTCCCTCGCGCAAGGGAAACCTGTAGCGAAGAAATGATAGATTAAACTATTATACCATCGTAATATGCCATTCGTTTCATAAGTATATTAGGGAATAAAATGTGGATAGTTGAAGACCTTGAATAAAAGCGTAAAAGCTTTTCGGTTTTGATACCTTGTTCGGTACCATTTATAGCCTTTAAATTTTAAATAAATTCAATAATTAACCTTCTAAAATTTTAATCGATACTTTTAAGAGAACTTGGTACATCCATTAGAATTCTGAAAGGTTATCTACACAGATCTGTAAGAAGCAGCCTCAACAGTTCGGCATCAATTGTGTTGTTTACTTAGTCTCTATAAACTCTAAACTCAATAGATGTATGCTATTTTTATAGATTGTTTACATAGTCTCTATAAACTCTGTTCTCAATATACGTATGATATTTTTATAGATTGTACTTGATTGTCTACGTGTATATATCTATCTATATGTGTGAGCATATAGTGTGTTGGTGAGGTAAGGGTATGTACAATTGTATTATTGAAAACACTTTGAATATATAGATAACAGTGAGAAAGAGGAAACACTTATTTGATTTTTTTAAAGTTTGCGTTTTTATAGCTCATGCCAATCTTTAATTTTTTTAAATAGTTATTTAGTTAAATATAAGCTGAATATAAAATATATATTATTTCACCAGATGGCAGCATTAACGTCAACAACAGCGTGCGCGCCAATTACTTCACACAAAGCAAGCGGATCGCTACCAGAACTTGCCAAGGATGGTCAGGCAGAAAGAAAAGATGAAAGACATCATGCCAAGGATGGCCAGGCAGAGAGAAAAGATGAAAAACATCAAAGTCTGGCTGAAAAAATTCACGGCCTAACAGAAAAACTGCATCATTTAGGACATAATCGAAGCGACAGTGACAGTTCTAGAGGAAGAGCAGGTATTACTACTTGAACAGGTTGTGAGACATTACACATCTTATAATAAAATACAAACAATAAATTCAAAAAAAAAAAATTTGTAAGTTACACAACGCAAACAATAAAATTGTCAGAAAATAAAATATATGATTTTTAAACAGTAAATCTCTGAATAGGTCTTAAGATACTGCAGTGTTCCGAAACGTTATTATTAGATACTGAAATATATAACTGTTTGAACTGCGAAACACTAAATACGTCTTAAGATGCTGCGGTGTTCTGAAATATTTAGATTATATACTAAAATATTGTTTCAACAGCAAAACTCTGAATAAATCTTAAGAAACTATAATGTTCTGAAACGTTGTGATCAGACATTGAGATATTTAACTGCTTGAATTGCGAAACGCTGAATACGTCTTAAGATGCTGCAGTGTTCTGAAATGTTAGGATTAAATATTAATCTACATCATCATTTTCTGAACTACAAAAGCTCAGAATATTTGTTAACCAGTATAATGTTTAGCAATAAACAAAACAAGAAGTGGAATTTAACAACTGTGAAGCTCAAAGTAAGTTTTAATACAATAAACTTCTCAGAAACAAATATTGGGCAAAAACATTAAGGATTTCTGTAGAAAACAAGTAAAACAAAACACACAGAACAGTTTGTTAGACAATCCAATTATTAGGCTTCAAACAATTTAATAAAAATCAGATTTGGATTTCCAAGTACCTGGAACGTTAATTTTTCGAGAATCCAGAAAAACATCTAATAATACCAACAAATGATTCATCTGCTGATAGTCAAGTCCAGGGGCATTTTGAATTAACATAATATATATGTTATAGCACAAAAGCATTTTGGAATACGCATTAAACATGTTATTTATATATGTGCTAGAATCATTTACATTGGGACAAGTACTTTATTTATCAGAAAGACATAATCATAAAGAATTATTAATGAGTTTAAATCAAACCTCTTGTTGTGTGAAATAGACATCTTTATATTTTCTCTATTCTTTTAATCAATTTAAAAATTGTATTTAGTATCATTACGTACATATTTAATATTTTACTTTTCACCACCAGGTAGCGCGTCTATTTATCCGATGGTGACAGTGACACAAAACTATGTGGACCAAAAGTCTACAGATTCGTCACCTTGCCACAGTCAAATGTCCAGGAATTCCTCTCGAAAATCGAACAGCTCCATGTTAATACATAATAGTGAGTTACTATTATGTTTAATTGTTAGCTATCACGAAAGGAGCTTTTGAATATATAAAGCACATAATCATAAAAAACATCTGACCTTCTTCAATGGTTCAACTAAGGGTGTTAATCAATACTTTAGGTTTAAACTGGAAAATTAGATTCAATAGACACATTATAAGCTATATTAGATGAATTACAAAATAACAATGATACGACTTTTTTTATCCCCTTAAAACAAGGATTCTCAACTTTTTTTTTCTTCTGGGGCCCGCCTTTAAAAATATTTTAGGCTGTGACGACCACCCACATACATACACGCAATGTTTTTATGATCTTCGCCCCCCCCCCCCCAAACCACACACACACAGCTTTGTGACGCCCTATTGGGTCGGGACCCTAACTTGAGAAACGCTGCCTTAGAGCAACTCTAACATTTAGTGTTTATAAAACCTTGTTATATTGCCAACCTATGTAACCTCTGAACAATTAACGCTATAGAAACACACTAAAGCACATGCACAACTTCCAGTTTGTAGCATGCCTACGAAATTTTGATACTAAATTTGATATGCACATAATGAACGAAAGTTCGTTCACTCTTAGCAAACAGAAAATTAAATGTGCAGTAACTGTCTATGTTATTTCTTAATTAAAATCAGTGTATTTGTATCCCTGTTTGAAACATGTATTTCGCACGCATTTTCGACTCAAAATTTGCTTATCACAATTCAACTTCCATTCTTATTTTCACAGTGTCAAACTGATTATATTGAGAGATAGGTCTATTGAATAACAGAGATTCGATAAGATATCTGTTAGAATAGTTCTAAATTTCTCTGAATAACCGAGTTCGTGAAAATGAAATAAAGAGACTGGACAATTGAACAATATTTACTGAATAATACAAAAACAATGTGTGTACTTGCATAGATGCTAAACTGTCCCTTCTTACTGGATTGTAAGTTAACTATCTTCCTCTATATTGTGTACAAGGCTGTTTTCTTTGAGATACTGTACCAGACTGTTTATATCTAACGTTCCCAGAGCGATTAGCATTACCTATATGATTGGTCGTTTTCAGTCAAACTTAAGGTGCATTGTAAACTAATGATACCAACTGGCCAGCCTACAATTGGAGGACACAGCTGTCTAATTTAGTCACAAAGAATGACAAAGAAGAAAGACAATTAGAAAAAAATTAACTTTATGACATTTATATTCATGTGTTATGTGAAAACTGCATACACACAGACAAGCTGATAAACTTCAATTAGAATAAGAAGGTTTGTTTATTTAGAACATCTTTCCCACCTCTCTTACTTCAGGCGTTATTCAAGCCAACAATACATTTCAGTTTTAAAACCAATTAAGCTTACAAATTCAGATTGGTCAAGAAGTGTGCTAACTTTCTCTTGTCACTATAAACACATGCAACAAAGACAGCACAGCTCTTTAACAATGAAAATCAATACACAATAAAACACCCTTAAATGCCAAAATATTCTCAATCATAATAAAAACCAAGTTAAAATATTTGATGCAATATACACGTTATTATATAGCTGCAACCATTATAAAAATTTAACCTACTGCAAAAAATTAGAACACACAATAAACACTCAATAACAAAGAAATATCAATACAGACCCTTTGAATAAAATACAACAAAAGCACAGTAAAACATACAATAACCCTTTTTCAATAACTACAATATATTATACATCTAAAACTAAAACCAGAAACCCTTAACAATAATAACTAACACACAAAAAATCAATCAGAAACATCCCATAAAACCACTATACTTAAGATATAAAACGAAAATGAAAATACTTTACAGTTCTCAACAAAATTTATACAAGGTGCATAATTTCACATGTAAAATAATCCAGGCATATTAAATAACTAAAATTAATAAAGACAAACCAAAAGATATAGACATTATTTACAATGCTCAAATTGAAAATATACAAAATAGGCATACCTACCTCAACAGCAGTAACGAGTCCCAACTCTACTCACCCTACCTTAACCCTTACAGTAGTGGATCACGAAATGGCTGCCATGGTGTCACTAGTGAATTTTGGGGCTCATGCCAAGGCTTGCATGATCTGGACAGCTCTACCCATAGCTGGTGCACTTCTTCTTCAAACAAGAAAGGTGGCGGGAACACCAGCATAGTCAGTCATCTTCCTGGTTGTGCATAGCCAAGCACTCAGACCATTTGGTTGCTATAGCCTGGCAGTGTCACATCAGAAGCTGGATCTGCTTCACAGTTAGGAAAATGGTGATGGTGGTAGCTGGAGTTTTGGCACGTTGATCCTAAATTGTTGTTGAGGTAGTCTGCAGGACCTTTTGGTCAGTAGTTTCTCATTGAATGGCGGTGCTGAGGTCCTGCACTTTGCATCAACAATGGTCTGCAGAGCTCTGGTTGGTGCTTAGCGGGCTGTTGAGGTCGATGCTCTTCATTCATCTCTTGAAGCACCTTAGCATCAAGGATGGTAATGGTGCAGCTGGTGGTGAGTCCTTGACAGCAGATGTTTTCCTGGAGATGGTTTTCTTTCTACCATAACTAATGGTTCCATTGAAGTTTCTGGTATTGTCACTGTTGGTATCAACTAAGTGTTGGTAGACATCTTGGGCTTCCACTCCCAGTGTCAACTGCTCCTTGAGGTAGAATTGACTCTGGTGAAGTGAAAATATTTTTAGGCTTTGGGATATAGTGGTCCCACTGGCAGTTGCTGTATATTTGGTGATGTTTCTTCGTTGTAACGAGACATACCCCAACAGGACTCCTCAGGAGAGACTCCTGGTACCTTGATATCTGTTTAAATTTATGCTTCACTGCTGATGGTTATTTAATTGTGTCTGAAGCACTTTCAGACCAAGCTTAACCAACATGGTGGTATTAATGTTCAGGAATTGTTTAACCAAGATGGTGGTCACTTTGTCTGGTGAGGGCTTGACTTCCAATGGAGAGTTGGTGACCAACAGGAGCTGCCCAGCTCTGGGAGACTTCAGAGCTAACACAATGACCAACTCAGTGAAATCCTATACAACAGGCACAATAAAACTTAAAATTAATAAAGACAAACCACAAAAATACAGACAATATTTACAATCCTCTGATTGAAAAGTAGACATATCTACCTCAACAGCACTAACGAGTTTCAACTCCTCTCACCCTCATCTTTATTCAGTGGATCACCAATTAGCTGCCATGGTGTCACTGGCTATTTTTTGTTTCTCTAAAAACTACGTATAGGGACAGAGTAATAAAAGGACTACCTTGGTCAAGTGACATTTCTACAAGTTTCATGTGTGCTCACACTATTAGGTTCAGTAGCAAAGTTCATCTCCTCGCTGCTCAGGAAATCATTTATATATTTATTTCATGATAAGGACCTGCCATTATGCAACTGAAAAATGATTTGGAGGTTTCACCACACAATAACCGAAATCATAGCTGACTAGTTGAAGAAGGACAACCGGAAGAGTCAAGAATTTTATATTAAATAGCAAAAGTCCATACTGAAACATAAGGTAAGATTATAGTCAATTAAGCAAAAGGTTAACCAGGTGTGTAGATTGTAAACAGAGTCATAAATGTTTAGCCACAGCCACATGCTTGTCCAAAACCTACCTATAGAGACAGAGTCATAAGAGGATTACCTTGATTAAATGACATTTCTAAAGGCTTCATATGTGCTCACACACCACCTTCCCTTAGAAGATGTGTCCATAACACCTGTGAACCTCTAGATCTAAAAGTTTCGTAATATCTTTGCTTACTAATACCTATAGCTGTGCTGCCCCGTTGTAATTCGTGTGGCAATAGCTAACACAGATTAACCTTCAATCCATACTTATTCCCTCTACTACCATTTGGCTGTTATGAAAACATTGCTTAGTCCCAATAGTTTAAAAAATAGGGACGAGACTGCATAAATGTTTCTCATACACATGAGTTTATTGGTTAGCAGATATCAACCTACACTTCTGATTATTACAATTCGTCAATGCATTTGTCATCTCTCCTTTGCAACTTCCTTTGAGATAAAAGTTTAGTACTAGTTAGGTGCAATTTTCATGAGAGTTACTTTCAAGCCCCAGCAGTAAACTTACAGCCTGCATCTTAATGTATCTTTAAATGCACCTTTCATTGAAGTAATATTAAGAAAACATTTAGAAAACTGTGTACTTACCAAGTATTTCAATCTGCGTAATTGAAAATATTGTAACATAACACATATAACTGTTTGATATGCATTTCAAGATATTATCTGTAAATTTAATTTATTACTAATAAATTCACCCACTCATAATTAGTTCAATGTGATCCAATCGAAATATCTTGCAGTACTCTTACTGAAATATACCAGGTAAAATTGTGTTTTCTCTCGGAAGTAGTGTGCTTTTCCATTACTCTTATACCTCCAAAAAATTCATTATCTGCCAAATATTTCAAGGTCAAAAATTTAAATATTTTCTTTCAAGTATTGTTAAAAATAACAGGTGCACTGTGCTTCAAACAAAACTTTACAAATAATTAATCACAGTTAACCTCATATCACAAAATCGTAATATAAGAAACAGATCCTCTATTTTTATTTACATGTGTAATTTATGCGATTGAGCCATTTGTGTTGTTTAATATTAATGAATGAATTTATTAATGTCTATACACGTGTGTAAGAGTACATACAGATTTACTTATATATGCATATTCCCAAGTAAATATATCAATATATACTATATATATCACTTATACTAGCAGCTTAAAACAGAATGCCTATGGATTGGCTATGCTACCATGATGTGCTGCCATCTGTGAGATATGAAAATAAACAAACTTCTCTTTTTAAGCACCACAAAATATATACCCATGGTAGAATTCAGTCAAACTAAGAGTTTTCATGTAAAATGCTTATAAGTTATTATCAATATTTATGCTATTAATACAGTATATATTTATATATACTCAGAGGAAGCACAATTCCGTCACTACATGT